CCACATCCTGTGGCGAGGAGTTCCACAGGTTGACCGCGAAGCTCATCCCTTCTGGTCCTACCTCCATTGGTCACTGCTGGCCTCTTTCTAACAACCCCTCTTAGCATGCAAAGGCTTTCAGGTCCCACTTTGGTTAACATGCCCCGTTTTTAAACCTTTCTTCCTAGGTCAAGTTTTTGGACCGGTGTCTCGTTGTTCCTGCTCTCTTCTGGGCTCGCTCCCCTAACGCAGAGGGCCCAGATCTGAGCTCAGTACCCCAGCGGAGGCCTCCCTACGGCCAAAACAGGGAAGACCAATTCCCTCCCGTGTTTACTTATGTCGTACTGGATCCAGGAGGGACTCAGACCCCCGTGAGAGATGCTCGCCCTGTTTGACAATGAGCCATCGAGATCTACTCTGCGTAAGATCTTCCAGCAAGTTGTGCTCTCCCCTGTTAGTAATTCCCTCTAGAAAACATTGGCTTGGTTTGATCGTGTGGGACGGCGTCGGAAGCATTACGGAAATCGTGGTGTAGCACAAGGGTTCCCAACCTTTTCAAGCATATGGACCCCTTTTCAATCCATTAACATTTCATGCCCGCCCCGCCATTCCCTGAGGGAGAAAAAGAAAGAGAGAGGAAAAAAAGAGAGGGAAAGAAGAAAAGAGAGAAAACAGAAGAAAACAGAGAAAGAGAAAACAAAAAAAGAGAAAGAAAAAAGAGGGGGGAAGAGAAAAAGAAGAGAGAGAAAAAGAGAGAGAGAAAAGAAAGAGAAAAGAGATGAAAAAGAGAAAAAAGACAGGGGGAAAGAAGAAAAAGAGAAAACAGAAGAAAAAGAGAAAGAGAAAATGAAAAGAGAAAGAAAAAAGAGAAAAAGAAAAGGGAGAGAGAGAAAAGAGGGAAAAGAGCAAAAAGAGAGAGGGAAATGAGAAAAGAAGGAGAAAAAAAGAGAAAACAGAAGAAAAAGAGAAAGAGAAAATGAAAAGAGAAAGAAAAAAGAGGGGGAAAAGAGAAAGAAAAAGAAAAAGAGAGAAAAGGAGAAAAAAGGAAGAGAGAAAAAAGAAAAGAAAGAGAGAGAAAAGAGAAGAGAGAAAGAAAAAAGAAAACAAGAAAAGAGAGGGAAAAAAAGAGAAAAGAAAGAGAAAAAAGAGAGAAAAAAGAAAACAAGAAAAGAGAGAAAAAAGAAAGAAAAAAGACTGAAAAGAGAAAAGAGAAAAAAGAAGGGAGAGAAAAAAGAGAGCTAAGAAAGAGAAAAAAGAAAGTGAGAAAAGAGAAAAAGAGAAAAAAAGAAGAGAAAGAAAAGAGGAAAAAGAGAGAAAGAAAAAAGAAAACAAGGAGAGAAAAAAGTAGAGAAAAAAGAGTGAAAAGTGAAAAGAGAAAAAAGAAAAAGAGAGAGAAAAAGAGAAAAAAGAGCGAGGGAAGCAAGAGAGAAGAGAGAGAGAATGGAAGAAAAACAAGAAATAGAAAGAAAAAAGAGAAAGAGAAAAATACAAAGAGAGAGAGAGAGAGAAAAGAAAAAAGAAGAGGAAACAAGAAAAAGAGAAAGAAATAAAAAAGAGAGAAAAAAGAGAGAAAGAAACAGAAAAGAGAGAAAAAGCGAAAACTGAAGAAAAGGAGAAAAAGGAAATAAGAGAAGGAAACAAGATTAAAGAGAGAGAGAGAGAGAGAGAGAGAAAAGAAAGGATCAGGCCTGCTGTGGTGGGCCCGATCCTTATTTTTAACCCCCCCCTTTACCGCTTCCCCCCAGCCCAGTTGCCCTGTCAACGAAGGAAACGGGGTTGCTTTGGGACGGTTGTTCTTGCCAAATCCAGGCTGACTCCTCTTTGACCCCTGCAAGGATCCGTTTTAAGCCGTGCCGGTATTTGTCCCGGGTTCCAAGTCAGGCTGGCAGGCTAGAATTCCCTGGGCCCTCTTTGCGCCCCTGTTAAAGATACCGCTTCCCCCCAGCCCAGTTGCCCTGTCAACGAAGGAAACGGGGTTGCTTTGGGACGGTTGTTCTTGCCAAATCCAGGCTGACTCCTCTTTGACCCCTGCAAGGATCCGTTTTAAGCCGTGCCGGTATTTGTCCCGGGTTCCAAGTCAGGCTGGCAGGCTAGAATTCCCTGGGCCCTCTTTGCGCCCCTGTTAAAGACAGGGAAATATGTGACAGGCTAACCCAACCTTTGCATCTGGCTGCTGGGCACAGAAGGCCTCCTCCGCCCCCCGGAGTTTGGCCGGCAAAAGTTTTCCCGAGGCTCAAAAAGCGCCGTGGGAAAATCAACATGGCGTGTTCCCGCTCGATCCTCTGGAGCTGGCTCCCATGATGCATCGCTCTCCGTCCCAGCATTCCCAGTGTGTGGCCTTTTCCCCCTGCCCCGGTTCCCCTCCCCCCATCCCGGCTGGCTCCCTGCCATTAACACATCGTGCCTGGCAGCTCGGTTAATTGTGACTTTCCCACCGCAACAGGCCTCACAGTTGCCTGATGTGCTGTCTGACAGGGAGAGGAGCACGAGCGGATTACGTCTGACAGGCGGAGAACAGCTGCACCCGCTGGGATTGAATCCGTGTGCGTGTCTGGGAACAGGTGCCGTAGCTACACAACTGTCAGATGACGCCGGGGGTGTTACACTGGGGATCACCAGGGATGTTACACTGGGAATCACTAGGGGTGTTTCACTGCGGCTCAGTGGGGCTGTTTCACTGGGCATCACCGGGGATGTTACACTGGGAATCACTAGGGGTGTTTCACTGCGGATCACAGGGGGTGTTTAACTGTGGCTCACCAAGGGTATTTCACTGCGGATCACCGGGTGTGTTTCACTGTGGATCACCAGGGGTGTTTCATTGCGGATCACGAGGAGTGTTTCACTGCGGATCACCGGGGGTGTTTCACTGTGGCTCACCAAGGGTATTTCACTGTGGCTCACCGGGCGTGTTTCACTGTGAATCATGGGGGGTGTTTCATTGCGGATCACAGGGGGTGTTTCACTGTGAATAACAGGGAGTGTTAAACTGTGGCTCACCAAGGGTATTTCACTGTGGCTCACCGGGCGTGTTTCACTGTGGATCACTAGGGGTGTTTCATTGTGGATCACGGGGGGTGTTTCACTGTGAATCAGAGGGGGTGTTTCACTGCAGATCACAGGTGGTGTTTCACTGTGGCTCACCAACGGTATTTCACTGTGGCTCACCAGGCGTGTTTCACTGTGAATCACAAGGGGTGTTTCATTGCGGATCACGGGGAGTGTTTCACTGCGGATAACAGGGAGTGTTTAACTGTGGCTCACCAAGGGTATTTCACTGTGGATCACCGGGGGTGTTTCACTGTGGCTCACCAGGGGTGTTTCACTGCGGATAACAGGGGGTGTTTCACTGCGGATTACTGAGGGTATTTCACGGTGGATCACAAGGGGTGTTTCACTGCGGATCACCGAGGGTGTTTCACTGACATTAAAGCAGAGAGGTCCGGAGTGGCATGGGATTCAGGTATCTTCAGGAACACCGGCCTATCCAGAAAGCTGCAAGCGGGCCCTTCCCCTCCCCCCCAGGCGATTCAAGCGGGGGACGTGGGTGAATCAGGGAGAGCCGGCATGCCCCTTAACGCCATGGCTCACAGAGCTTTCCCTGGGAAACCTGGAGCGCAGGACTGTGCAGGTGCGGGGTGACGGCCGGCTGTTTGACAGAATCAATCTCCATTGGTCACAGCCGCCTGTTGCGTGTCGCACTGTATTTGCGAGGGGAAGGGTGAAAGTTGGCAAGGGGCGGGCTGTTGCTTTGGAGCAGCCAGACCCACGCTGATCACAAGGGTGGGGGGCAGAGAATTCAAATCGGGGAAGTTTGGAAAATCAGCGTCTGTCCCGTATAGCACGGTGTTCCGGACGGCAGTGCTCCATGGTACGGAATTTTCCCACGCAGGACCTGGGAGTCGTGTGGCTGCAACCGAAATTCGGAGAAAACTGAATTGGTGTTTTAAGTCTGACTGTTTTATTCCGGTTGTACTTTTTACACCTCAAAATGTCATCGCCTGCCCGGCGACTATGCAGTGGTTGAAACAAACGTGTTGCAATGGTAGAAAAAAATTGTGTGTGTCTGAAAACTGTAGGGACTGGGGGTACTTACAATGTTTTTTAAAAGGGGTACTTTATAAAAAACGGTTGTGAAACACTGACCGAACCAACCCACCTAACATTGGGGCCTTAGAGAGGTGGAAATTATTCGTATCAGCCTCTTGTAACTTGAACACTCTCGCTACACTTTTCCCCTCTCTCTTCTCTCCCCCTTCACTTATTTATTCTTGGATCCAGACTTTTAATACCCCAGCCATCCGAAGAAGAGGGCTGTGACCACGAGAGCTCTTGGTACCGTCTCCATGTTTTGTTCGTCTGTAAGGTGCTGCTAGACTAGTCGTTGGTTTTCACGCTTTTCCAAACCGCTTGGGTATGTCCTGTGGCCGTCTGGCAGTACTTCTGACAGTCGGAGAACAGCTGCCCCCGGAGGGATTGAATCCGCACACAAGTCCAGGAAGAGGCAAAATAGCTACAGAACTGTCAGATGACACCGGGGGTGTTTCACTGGGGATCACCGGGGGTGTTTCACTGCGGATCATTGGGGGTGTTTCCCTGCGGATCATCGAGGGTGTTTCACTGGAGATGACCGGGGGTGTTTCACTGGGGATCACCGGGGGTGTTTCACTGCGGATCATTGGGGGTGTTTCCCTGCGGATCATCGAGGGTGTTTCACTGGAGATGACCGGGGGTGTTTCACTGGGGATCACCGGGGGTGTTTCACTGCAGATCACCAGGGGTGTTTCACTGCGGATCATCGAGGGTGTTTCACTGGGGATTACTGGGGGTGTTTCACTGCAGATCACCAGGAAGGTTTCACTGTGGATCACTGGGGGGTTTCACTGTGGATCAGCGGGGGTGTGATTAACTGCGGATCATGGGGATGTTTCACTGTGGACCACGGGGATGTTTCACTGAGGATCACGGGGATGTTTCACTGGGGATCACGTGGGTGTTTCACTGCTGATGACTGGGGGTATTTAACTGGGAATCACCGGGGGTGTTTCACTGCGGATCATTGGGGGTGTTTCCCTGCGGATCATCGAGGGTGTTTCACTGGAGATGACCGGGGGTGTTTCACTGGGGATCACCGGGGGTGTTTCACTGCAGATCACCAGGGGTGTTTCACTGCGGATCATCGAGGGTGTTTCACTGGGGATTACTGGGGGTGTTTCACTGCAGATCACCAGGAAGGTTTCACTGTGGATCAGCGGGGGTGTGATTAACTGCGGATCATGGGGATGTTTCACTGTGGACCACGGGGATGTTTCACTGAGGATCACGGGGATGTTTCACTGGGGATCATGGGGATGTTTCACTGCTGATGACTGGGGGTATTTAACTGGGAATCACCGGGGGTGTTTCACTGCGGATCACCGGGGGTGTTTCACTGCGGATCACCGGGGGTGTTTCACTGCGGATCACCGGGGGTGTTTCACTGCGGATCACCGGGGGTGTTTCACTGCGGATCACCGGGGGTGTTTCACTGCGGATCACCGGGGGTGTTTCACTGCGGATCACCGGGGGTGTTTCACTGCGGATCACCGGGGGTGTTTCACTGCGGATCACCGGGGGTGTTTCACTGCGGATCACCGGGGGTGTTTCACTGCGGATCACCGGGGGTGTTTCACTGCGGATCACCGGGGGTGTTTCACTGCGGATCACCGGGGGTGTTTCACTGCGGATCACCGGGGGTGTTTCACTGCGGATCACCGGGGGTGTTTCACTGCGGATCACCGGGGGTGTTTCACTGCGGATCACCGGGGGTGTTTCACTGCGGATCACCGGGGGTGTTTCACTGCGGATCACCGGGGGTGTTTCACTGCGGATCACCGGGGGTGTTTCACTGCGGATCACCGGGGGTGTTTCACTGCGGATCACCGGGGGTGTTTCACTGCGGATCACCGGGGGTGTTTCACTGCGGATCACCGGGGGTGTTTCACTGCGGATCACCGGGGGTGTTTCACTGCGGATCACCGGGGGTGTTTCACTGCGGATCACCGGGGGTGTTTCACTGCGGATCACCGGGGGTGTTTCACTGCGGATCACCGGGGGTGTTTCACTGCGGATCACCGGGGGTGTTTCACTGCGGATCACCGGGGGTGTTTCACTGCGGATCACCGGGGGTGTTTCACTGCGGATCACCGGGGGTGTTTCACTGCGGATCACCGGGGGTGTTTCACTGCGGATCACCGGGGGTGTTTCACTGCGGATCACCGGGGGTGTTTCACTGCGGATCACCGGGGCTGTTTCCAAAAACACACGAGAAGGGGCCGAGTGCTATCGCCGCTTGCTGCACACAGGAGGATGGTGACGGCAGCAAAGCAGGCAGTGACCAGAAAAACAGCAGCAGCAGCAGCACCATTTCGCCTCTGTTTTCCTGTCTCTCTTCAACAGCGAGCACCAGCAGAAAGCGCAAACACAGTCCCCCACTACCACAAATTATGCAGGCGAGTTTCCCACATTTGGGGAAATTTATAGAACATAAAAACGGCCAGATTGGGTCAGACCAAAGGTCCATTCAGCCCAGTGTCCCGTCTGCTGACAGTGACCACTGCCAGGTGCCCCAGAGGGAGAGAACAGGGAATCCGCACGTGATCCCTCCCCTGTCACCCACTTCCAGACAAACAGAGGCTAGGGGCACCGTTCCTACCCATCCTTGATGGACTTCACCTCCATGAATCTATCCAGCTCCTTTTTGAACCCTGTTCAAATTCTAGCCTTCACCACATCCTGTGGCAAGGAGTTCCACTGGTTAACTGTGCACTGAGCGAAGAAACCTTTCCTTTTTTAAAGTCCTAGTCTTCACCACATCCTCTGGTGAGGAGTTCCACAGGTTGGCTGTGCACTGAGCGACGAAACCTTTCCTTTTTTAAAGTCCTAGTCTTCACCACATCCTCTGGCGAGGAGTTCCACAGGTTGGCTGTGCACTGAGCGACGAAACCTTTCCTTTTTTAAAGTCCTAGTCTTCATCACATCCGCTGGCGAGGAGTTCCACAGGTTGGCTGTGCAGTGAGCGACGAAACCTTTCCTTTTTTAAAGTCCTAGTCTTCACCACAGCCTCTGGCGAGGAGTTCCACAGGTTGGCTGTGCGCTGCGTGACGAAAAGCTTCCTTTTGTTTGTTTTAAACCTGCTGCCTATTAACTTCATTTGGTGACCCCTCATTCTTAGATTGGGGGAATAAGTACAAAACTTTTCCTTATTCACTTTTTCCATACTAGTCATGGTTTTATAGACCTCTAGCCTATCATATCATAGAGGACACACAATGAAGTTTGCACAGCATGCACACACCTCTGGCTTTTGTTGCGCCGGATACGACCTCGCCCTCCTGCACACGAGGTAGGCGAGGAGGATCCGGGCAGCGCAGATGATCAGCGCCGTGTGTGAGTCCAGTTATAATGTGAAAAGGTGTCCATGGGGGTGGTGCGAACAGAGAAACGAGAAGGCCAGGAAAGCAGAAACGGACAGGGAAGCGCCATTCGGGCAGACGTTCTGAGTGTGCTCACCACATTACGAGGGACCCCAGCATCTAATTAGCTCCTCTGTAGCTTGTATGGCTCTTGCGGCCACGTCCTTAACAAAGGCGAAACAAAGACAAGCCTATGCTGCTCGTTAAAGACTAACAAGATGTCTTATTAGGTGATGCGCTTTCATGGGCTGGACCCATTTCCTCAGATCAATTTGTGGAAGAAAATTGGCGCAGCCATATATACCAAAGTGATACAATCGAAAAAAAGTGAACACGTATATATCACTTTGGTATATACGGTCGTGCCAATTTTCTTCCACAAATTGATCTGAGGAAGTGGGTCTGGCTCACGAAAGCTCATCACCTAATAAACCATCTTGTTCGTCTTTAAAGTGCTGCATAGCCCTGTTTTTTGTTTCAGCTCGACCAGACTAACACGGCTACATCTCTATCACTATTCTACATGCAAGAAAATGTCTTGACACCTTCAATGACTGCTTCTTGGAACAGCTGGTGCTGGACCCCGGAACGGGAGAGACAATTCTCGATTTAGTCCTAAGTGGAGCGCAGGATCAAGTCCAAGCGTTGATTGTAGCTGGCCCGCTTCGAAATAGTGAGCATAAGGTAATTAAATGGAACATCCCTTGGTGGGAAAAACACCGCAGCAGCCCAACACGGTGGCCTTTCGTGTCAGAAAGGGGAGCGACACACACATGAGGAAGTTAGTTAAACCGCAATGAAAAGGTGCAGTGACAAAAGTAAAATCTCTGCAAGCTGCCTGGAAACTTTTCCAAGACACCATAAGGGAGGCCCAATTTAAATGTGTACCCCCCGCCCCCGTTAAAAATAAAACAAAGAACTTCGGAAGAGAGCCAAAAACGTGCCAAGTCAAAGAAGCGGAGCGAGATTAAAAAGGCATCGTTTCAAAAGCGGGAGTGAAATCGTAGCGAGGAGAATAGAAAGGAGCATCCACGCTGGCAACTGAAGTGTAAAAATATATTAAGAATCATAAAATCAGAGACTACTAGGACTGGAAGGGACCTCGAGAGTCATCGAATCCAGTCCCCCGCCCTCATGGCAGGACCAAATACTGTCTAGGCCATCCCTGATAGACATTTATGTAACCAATTCTTAAATATCTCCACAGATGGGGATTCCACAACCTCCCTGGGCAATTTATTCCAGTGTTTGACCCTCCTGACGGTTAGGAACTTTTTGGCTACGTCTACACTGGCATGATTTTCCGAAAAGGCTTTTAACGGAAAAGTTTTCCGTTAAAGCATTTTCGGAAAAATCGCGTCTTGATTGGCAGGACGCTTTTCCGCAAAAGTACTTTTTGCGGAAAAGCGTCCGTGGCCAATCTAGACGTAGTTTTCCGCAAAAAAGCCCCGATCGCCATTTTCGCGATTGGGTCTTTTTTGCGGACAACAGTCCTGTGCTGTTTACACTGGCCCTCTTGCGCAAATGACTAGCATACATGTCGGCAAACTCCCCCAAAGCATGTGGAGTGTGTGGGGGGGATTTTCCATGGGGAGACAAGCAATATGAAAGTGGTCCCCGTGCGGTCAACGAGAGGTAGCATTTTCAACGTTCCCACTCTAAAAACATCTCTCGGCGTTGGAAAAGGTTCAGAAAAGGGCAAGCAAAATGATGCGGCGTTTGGAACGGGTCCCCTATGAGGAGAGATTAAAGAGACTTGGATTTTTTCAGCTTAGAAAAGAGGAGACTCAGGCGGAGAGAGGACCGAAGTCCATAAAATCATGACTGGTATGGAAAAAGCAAACAAGGAAACGTTGTTTGCTTATTCCCACAATGTAAGACCAAGCGGTCACCCAACCAATGCCAGAAAAACCCCTTTGTTCTTTTGATTTACTTTCAAAAGAACACCATTGATGTGTAGATGTAACTCAGGTTTTGTCAGAAAAATGGCCGTTTTTCTGACAAAACTCTTTGGTGTAGGCATACCTTAGGGTTGTTCTTTTTTTAACCTTAAGTATTTCCTACTTTTGGTCAAACTTAGAGGTGGGATAAAATCAGAAATCCCTGTATTACCTGTTCTGTTCTTTCCCTCTGGGGCACCTGGTATTGGCCACTGTGGGCAGACAGGACACTGGGCTAGATGGACCGTTGGTCTGACCCAGTCTGGCCGTTCTTATGTTCTTAGGTTGCAAATGAGAAGTGGGCAGTGTTGGAACAACTGGCTGAACACACAGTAGGACTGGGTGGACTTGTAGGCGCGAACGGTTTTTTACCTGGTTTTGGTTGGAAGGCCGTTAGGCAGGTGAGTAATTCTACACTTGCGAGTCCCAAGCTGCGTTCACCCTTTTCCATAGGCGGGGGGCACTGTAGCAATCTGTCACTCCCCGGAACAAGCAAGAAAACCCAGGTGTGTTTCTCGCCTGTGTGTAGTGTGTGACGTGGTTCGTCATCTGCTCACCTGATCTCTGCACACGTGCTTGCTGATTAAGAACATAAGAACGGCGGTACTGGGTCAGACCAAAGGTCCATCTAGCCCAGTATCCTGTCTGCCGACAGTGGCCAGCACCAGGTGCCCCAGAGAGGGTAGACCGAAGACAATGATCAAGTGATTTGTCTCCTGCCATCCCTCTCCAGTCTCTGACAAACAGAGGCCAAGGACACCATTTTATCCCCTGGCTAATAGCCTTTTATGGACCTAACCTCCATGAATTTATCCAGCTTCTCTTTAAACTCTGTTATAGTCCTAGCCTCCTCCAGCAAGGAGTTCCACAGGTTGACTACATGCTGTGTGAAGAACTTTCTTTTATTCGTTTTAAACTTGCTCCCCATTGGCATGGGTGGCTCTGGTATCCTATGCTTAACAAAGATCCCCCCGGCTCCCCCGAAATTCTAGACTGGCTACTGACCGCCTGGGAGTGGGACGGCTAAGACTTCCTTCTCCGAGAGATTGCCGATTTGGATTTTGTGCAGGTTGTGTGCGTGTGTGATTGGAATGTAATGGTCTCTATTTTCCAACCTCCGGCCAGCTTGGCTCCGACAAGATACCGTTGTAGTCGGAAGAGGCAGACTTTGAAAAAGGACGCTTTCTGTGACATGTTTTGGAAAGCCACATCGCTGGTTTCAAAACTGGGTCAGCACCGGAGAAACGGAGAGCGTCTCAAATCCCTCAGCAGGCAGCCGATTCGGGGCCAACCAAAATCAGAAATCTGTCCCCAAAAAGGAGGAGATGGATTTAAACCAAAATCACAAGCTGAAAATAAAATGGGGGGCCGGGGGGTTGATTTGCCTTCTCATGTGTGAACCTTGAGGTCAGTGGTTCTCAGCTGGGGTATATTTATTCCGTGGGGGGAGGGGGGGGGTACACAGAGTTTTCCACGACTCACCTCTTGTTATTTGCCGAATTTTACGACAGGCTCCATGAAAAGCACTAGCAAAGTCAGTGCAAACGAAAATTTCACACGGAGAAGGACTTGTTTATGCGGCTGTCTGTCAGACTGGCGGTACAATATTAGCGTCCACGTTGATTTATTTTATATCATGAGAAAGCCGGCCAATTTTCAGTAAGAGACCTGGGACTGTTCCGTATTTTTTCTTTCTGAGTTGGTAAGCAAGTCGTTTTTAAACGAAACTTGGGGTACACGACAAATCAGATTCCTAGAAGGGGGACAGTCGACCGGCAAGGTTTAAAGCCGCTGCTTCAGACTACCCGCGAGAAATGTTCTCAAGGTTTTCTCTGCAGCCACGCGGAGAAAAGCCGCCTACTCCGTCTTAAAGTCTTTCTTGGGTTGGCGGCTCAGAGCAGCTACCACGCTGTGGCCACAGACCTAGTCTTTCTTAATCACCACTAACGCATGTCATTAGCCGACTTGTGATTAAAAAAATTAATCACCGCTTTCCTTGCCCTGTTCAATTGCAGTTGGTATTCTAGTCACTATTTTCCCGGCTCTTCTCCATTTCCAGACAGTTTCAATTACGACTCAGAACACCAAGGGCTCCTGTGACAGCTGGAGTCCAAACGATACGCCAAAGAAATAGCATTTTTCAATTCGCCACACACACGTGCTTTCGCTTTATAGTGCAAGTGCAACGCACGAAGGTAGCACTTTGCTGCAGAACTGCGCCCGGAAACACAACAACCGTCCGCAAGTCCACTCAGTCCTACTTCGTGTTCAGCCAATTGCTCAGAGGAGCCAGTTAGCTTGCGGGAGATGTTGCCTGTGTATTTACAATGTCACCTGGATGTAAGGATGTCACTTGGGTAGCTGGCGTTGCCAGGCATGTCCAAGCCCGATATTAATACGCCCCTTCGTGTGTCCTCCATGTTTCCAAAGGACATGCTCCCACATGGATGATTAAAAAAGTAATGTGCGAATTCAACTGGATCTCCTTAGAGGGGAGAATTGTAAGTCTCCTGCGCTGTTTTACTCCCATTCCGCTGTAGATTTCGTGGGAGAGCAGTCCGGAAGGACACGTCTGCTGCTCCTTCGACAAAACACAAAGTCGGTCCCTAGTTCCCCTCTTCTTGCCCCTGCCCCACCCTCAATCCACCCCCTTCCCAACACAGCTTAGCTGACGAGCACTTCCTGGTAGCAGGAAACAGAGCAACCCCACTTCACTCCCCCATCTCCCAGACACGCCCCTCTGCTTCCTCCCTCCACCCCTTCCCCCACAGCTCCTCCCCCATGGGACACACAACTTAGTTGTAAATATCGCACCGCGCCGGTTTCAACAGCGCCACATGAACGCCCGTTCTCACTTTCAGGCGAGGGTGTCTTTTTCCTTCACTTAGCACAGTCAACCTGTGGAACTCCTCGCCACAGGATGTGGTGAAGGCTAGAACTTCAACAGGGTTCAAAAAGGAGGTGGCTCAGGCTGCAAATTCCAGTCGTCCCTGGGCCAGGGTAGACGGCACGGCCCGGAGACGCTGGGACAAGGCTCCCTGGAAGTGTGTGTGGGGGGGTACACCCGGCTGCACCTCAGGCTCTGGAGAAGGCCTAGAGGCCACAATGAGGGGCACGAAGGCAGGGCTTAGATCCCCTGTCGGGCTGCCCCCGGCTCTGCCCTCTCCCCGGGGAGCGTGTCTCACACACGGCCTGTCTCCCTCCCCGTTCTCCTGAGCGCTCACGCTTTGATGGATGGGACTTTTGTTCCAGAGCCTCGGCCTCCGTCCAGGGGAGAGGGGGCGGCAGGGAGGAAGCAGCCAAGGCCTCCGCCTCCTTTCCCGCGGCCGCAGAACGACAAAAGGAAAAGCTGCACATACACCCGGGCAGGGAGATGGGAGGAGGAGGTAGCCCCGTTGCTTTGAATGTTTGAGGGCAGGTGTCGAGGGACGCCCTGCCCAGGGACTGGCCCAACAGCCACAGAGTCTAGGCAGAGTCCAGGGTAGTACGGCCTAGTGGGCACAGAGTCAATACACACCCCCTCTGGGATCAGGGTAGTACGGCCCAATAGCCACGGAGTCCACATGCACCCCCTCTAGGATCAGGGTAGTACGGCCCAACGGCCATGAGTCCATATAAACACCCCTCTGGGATCAGAGTAGTACGGCCCAAAGGCCACGAGTCCATATACACACCCCTCTGGGATCAGGGTAGTACGGCCCAAAGGCCACGAGTCCATATACACACCCCTCTGGGATCAGGGTGGTACGGCCCAAAGGCCACGAGTCCATATACACACCCCTCTGGGATCAGGGTGGTACGGCCCAAAGGCCACGAGTCCATATACACACCCCTCTGGGATCAGGGTGGTACGGCCCAAAGGCCACGAGTCCATATACACACCCCTCTGGGATCAGGGTGGTACGGCCCAAAGGCCACGAGTCCATATACACACCCCTCTGGGATCAGGGTGGTACGGCCCAAAGGCCACGAGTCCATATACACACCCCTCTGGGATCAGGGTGGTACGGCCCAAAGGCCACGAGTCCATATACACACCCCTCTGGGATCAGGGTGGTACGGCCCAAAGGCCACGAGTCCATATACACACCCCTCTGGGATCAGAGTAGTATGGCCCAATGATCCTGGAGTCCATATACACACCCCTCTGGGATCAGGGTAGTACGGCCCAAAGGCCACGAGTCCATATACACACCCCTCTGGGATCAGGGTGGTACGGCCCAAAGGCCACGAGTCCACATGGACCCCCTCTGGGATCAGGGTAGTACGGCCCAATGGCCATGAGTCTATAGAGAGTAGACAAGGCTGGACCACGTGGGGGTATCTGAAGGGGGGGAGTGGACCCTTTCCACCGGCCCCAGCTCAGGGCCCGGTTAGCAGTGGAGCAGCCCACGGCGAGCTCGGAGGGCTCGGGGAGCGGCTCCTCACCCGGGGAGCAGCGCCTCCCCCTCATCATGGTCAGGCCCCCGGCTCCTACCGCAACCCCTCTCGGCCGTGCGACCTCCCTGGACCTCCTTGCCCTGCAGCAGCCAGCCCGGACTGAGCACCTCCAGGGGCTTTTATAGCCCTCTGCTGGCTGGAGCATGCCCAGTAGGGTCCTGGGGGCGGGGCCTCCTATGCCAGCTGGGCCGGGTTAACCCCTTCAGGCCCACAGGTCTCTGGGCTACATGGAGCAGGGCTGGCTGAACAAGAGAGATGGAAAATTATTGGGGAGGGGGGGACCCGCTCCACGTCTCGAATAAACGGGGCGGGCTCTTTCCGAGGGCGAACCCCAAAAGGGTTCGACCCCCCCCTACAATGATCAAAAATACGTGAGCGAAAATACGGTGGCGGAACAGGTCGGCTTGCCCACAGGTCTCTGGGCTACATGGAGCAGGGCTGGCTGAACAAGAGAGATGGAAAATTATTGGGGAGGGGGGGACCCGCTCCACGTCTCGAATAAACGGGGCGGGCTCTTTCCGAGGGCGAACCCCAAAAGGGTTCGACCCCCCCCTACAATGATCAAAAATACGTGAGCGAAAATACGGTGGCGGAACAGGTCGGCTTTACGGGACGTTTTCGGCCCCCCACCCCCACACTGGCTGTATCTAGGGGACTCGACTTAAATTCCCCCCTATTTGGAACCCTAACCACCTCCCACCCCCCTCCAGCTCTGTGCTCAGCGCCCCCACCTTCC